GGAGCCCGATGCGGGACTCAATCCCGGGACTCCAGGATCATGACCTGAGCCGAAGGCAGTCGCTTAACCAACTGAGCCACCCAGGCGCCCTCTTTTTGGTCTTTAAATCTCACTAATCTCCTATTCTCACTGCTCACCCTCCCTAACCCCCAAGTGCAGACTGGCTATTGGTCACTAAAGACCATGGGCACGGTCATGGTCAGGGAGCACCCTTCCAAGCCCAGTGAGGCAGGTCTCTCCCAGGGCCCAGGCCTCCTCCTAAGATCTTCTTCAGCCCCTTCCCGCGCCCCCGGAGCCTCCCATTGGTACCTCTCCAGATATCAGATCCTGGGGCTCCCCTGCTGACTTTCCTTTTCCCTCCATGGCCTCCACCCTGTGACTCAATCTCCTGCTAGGTTTTTAACCACCGGCGGCCAGGCCTGACCCCAGCACAGAGGCATCTGTAGCCTGGACCTCTATGCTTTGCACGCACATCATCTCCGGAGGGCCCAGTACCCGCCTGTCACTCCCGCAGACACAGCACTCGGCCCTTTCCAGCGAGTCATGAGGTGAGTCAACATCCAACTCCTTTTCGCAGCCTGCAACACTTGAAGGGCCCAGCTCAAGACACTCTGCCTCACTGCCCGGCTCTCTAGGTAGCCCTCCCTGCGTCAAACTACTGGGGTCTCAGAGGCCCTTCCAGATCCCTGGGCTCTCCATTGCAGACCCCTATCACCCTCTGACACCTCCCAGGGAGGGGACTGTTGTTCAAACTTCGGTCCCAGCACCTAGGAGAGGAAGGACAGAAGGAAGGAAGGAGAGAGGGAGGGAAGGAGAAAAGAGGAAGGGGAGGAGAAGGGAAGGAGGGAAGAAAGACAAGCATCCCTCCACCTGAGGCTGAGGTCGGTCCAGGGATGTTTTTCAAGCCCCATCCCCCAGCAGCCTCTGGTCTTGAGGTCCTGGCTCTACAGATTTCCAAAGATATCTGGAGCCTCCCATCAGCCCACGTCCCTTTCCTGCTCAAAGTCTTTCCCTGGACCTACAATCCGAGAATAGGAGAATCCTGCTACCTGCTAACACCAATGAGACTTTCCTCCATCCTGTTCTCAAGAACCCTTCCTCTCATCTCCCATTGCTTCCCGCACCCAGGCCTGGAACCACGTCCACTTTTCATGTTCAGGTGCACTTCCAACGCCCCTCCTTGGGGAATCCTCCAGGCAGGGTCGGGTCGTCCTCCAGGGCCCCTCCCTCGGCCCAGTCCGAACATTTAGGGGTTGGGACTTCCCGCTCTCGCCCCGCAGTGGCCAGGCTAAGTTTGAAGAATAAACTCAATAGGTTTATTGAGCAGCGTGAGACCTGAAGGTTCCAACTGTGCTGTCTCCAATTCTGGGACCCTCGCCCGCCCCGAGGCCATCCGCATCCCCTTGGCCTGGCTCCTCCTCTCAGGGCTCTCCCTGGCCCTTCCACACACCTCAATACACGCAGCGACCCCATGCTTCCACAAGACCCACGTCGCCAGCGTGGGCTCCAGAGGGACCCCCAACCTCCCCAGCGAGGATCCGTACGTTCCCAGTCCCCTCCGCGGGGCTGCGACCCCTCGGCAGGACCCCAGGCCCCTAGAGGGCCCCCAGAGATTTTCCAGAATTCCCGAACGCTCAGGGGCCTCCAGTCCCCTAGACAGAACCCCCAACCCCCACGTAGGTCCCACAGGGAGACTGAACCCAGAGAGGGACACACGGCCCTCAGCGCGACCCAGAGTCCCTCAGAGCTCTCAATCCCTACAAAGGGATCCCAGTCCCCTCGGTGTCTCCCTGGACACCCTCAGCGGAACCTCCTGCCCTTCAGTCAAGGCCCCCCATGTGGCTGGCTGCCGGCTCACCATGTCGCCGGCGGGAGCGCGGTCGGCTGACCTGAGGCTCCGGGCATCTCGCAGGAGTACAACCAATCAGAGCCCGATTCTGTTCTGACAAACAGCCCGTAAGACCAATCGTCAGGCTTGCAGCTGAAGCACACCACGAGGGACACGAGGTCGCTCGCGTTGCATGCCGGAAGTTGTAGTTCGAAGACGTTCGGCAAGCTCAGACGTCGGTTGAGTCAGGACTCTCTGGTACCCTGTGTGGCTGTCCTCTCTGAGATACAGTCTCCTAGCATCCGCACCTATTGCGCAGGTCTGAGGCAGATACATTCATTTATCCACGCACTGCCTCCCGCTGGAGAGTTCTGAGTGTGGAACTCCCCCGATGAAGAACATTCGGTGGCTCCCACTGACTAGACTCCCAAGTGCTCAGACTGAATTCTTACACCTCTACCTGACTTCAGTCAGCCGTACACACTGTAATACAGCTTGCCACTGGCCGTACTAGCTCATACCTCCAGGCCCCTGTAAATGCTATCTTTCATCTTGGAAATACCTCCTTTCTCAATCTTTTTCGTTTAGCAAAGCCTTATTCATCTCTATCAGCCAGGACTCTGATTGAACACACACACACACACACACACACACACACACACACACACACACACTAACTCAAATGGGCTCCAGCAAAAAAAGGGGGGGGGGATTTTGTGACAAAAAACTCTAAAAGCATAGTGAGCTTCAGGCATGTCTAGATCAAGGAAAAAAAATGTCAGTCTCAAGAATCTGATGTTTTGTGTTTCCAGGCTTGGAGGAAAGGGCTTCTAGCATGGGTACCTAAGTTTTGCCATCTGCATTTTTATGGATAAAGTGTGTCTGCCTGAATGTGGACATATATGTGGGTATGATTAGATGTCTGAGGTGGTTTCTTTAAATTTTTTTTAAAAAGATTTTATTTTTTTGAGAGACAGAGAGAGCAAGTGAGAGAGAGCCTGAGCTGGGGGGAGGGGCAGAGGGAGAGGAACAAGCAGACTCCCCGCTGAGCAGGGAGCCCAAAGTGGGGCTTGATCCCAGGACCCAGAGATCATGACCTGAGCCCAGACGCTTAACTGACTGAGCCACCCAGTCGCCCCAGATGTCTGAGGGTTTTTATGGGGCCTGTGAGTGGGGCCTGTATAGTTGATTGCCTTGTCTCTGTGGGTGTTTTTGTCTTTGTTTATGAGCACATGTGGATGTCTGTTTGCAGGGGATTCACTGTGGCTTGGTCTTCTGGACTCAGAGTGTCCCCTGGAGAGAGGATGGGTGACAGTGGTGGTGAGGGTCACTGGGATTTCCCTGGAACAACATGGGGGCCATGAGCCAATCTATGAATCCATGAGGGATCCAGGGAAGCTGGGATTTGGGGAGGGTGTCAGAGAAAGGGACCGAGAAAGAAAGGAGGGGCATTTGCTGCAGGTCCACTGCATACCAGGCTGGGGAGGTGGGGTGGTTGATTTCATGTGCTCCTTCCAGTATGCTGAGGTGGAGGGACAATCGTCTCCATTTCATTGATGAAGACACTGAGGCTCTGGGAGGCCCAAATCTCTACGGCACACCTTGACCTCTCCTCCTGCACCCAGAGCTTATGAGTTTAGGTGTCACAGCGGCGCCCATGCGGTGAACCACAGGAAATTCACACGTCCTCATCTCAGGAGGTCCTCATCTTCCCTCCTGCAACTCCCCATCCTCCAGGTTATCCACAAGCTCTGGAGTTGGCCTTGACTCCTCTCTCGCCCACACCTGATCTGTCAGCCCCTCCTGATGATGGTTCCACCTTCCAAGTGTAGCCAGTCTCACCAACCCCACAACCTCCACCCAATCAACTTCCGTCACATCTCCCCTGCAGTCCCCAGCTCCCCGATCTCTGGCTTCCACCCCTACACCTCACCTCAGCCCCCACAGTCTATTTTTCCCCAGAGCAGCTTAAGGACACCTCTTAACACTTGGCCCAGACAATGTCCCTCCTCTGTTCTAAAATGGACACTCCTCACTCTCTAGTCTACGTTGGATGTGCATGTTGTCTGTTCCACATTGGACGTTCCTTGTTCTCCATTCTCCACTGGGCGAATCCACATTCTCTGTCCCGCATTGGGTACTCCATGGTCTCTGATCCTCAAGACACTCCCTATGTCTGTCTGCATTAACAGCCCAGCCTCTCTGATTACACTGAAGTCCACACTCTCTCTCCACATTGGCCATTCCACCATCTCTGTGTGTATGATGCTCTTGAAAAATGCATCTCTCAGGTTTCTGACTTCCATGACTGCATTTGTGCCACAATTCCCATGATGCTTTCAACCAGTGACTGAGCTCCTGGGAGACTCAGGGTCCCTCTGATGGTGACAATAGCCCTGACTGACATCACCACGGTGTCCTTAGAAAGGCTGGTAGAGGATACTTTCACACAACCCTCCCTGCTCCACCCCCCCCCCACACCCCCACAGAGCCAGCAGGTGCAGAGCTGGAGTTTGGACCAAAGGTGTTTCCAGAAGCCAGTAGCCTGCTCACTGACCTTTCATGACCCAGGACACCCCAAGCTCTACATGTGCAGGCAACATGTGACACAGACCTTTCTGAGTCCCCAGGCTCAGACCCTGAAAACATGGGGTGAAGACCCTGGAAGCCAAGAGGGATTTTATTTTTTAATTACTATTTCTATTTTATTTTTTACTTTTGAGCGGGGAGTGCAGAATCCAAAGCACACTATTGGGCGCCACCTAATGGATGATGGCGAAAGTGCAGTCTCCCAGGATGGGCATGCAGAACCACACCCACCCGCCCGTGCCCCCACCTCCCAATCTTTGAAAGCAGCCTACATTTTTAAGAACCCGACACGGGGCGCTTAACCTGTGGGCACTGACTTCAGGGACTGGCCTGGCTTCTTGTCCCCCATGAGGGTGAGATCCAGAGGCTAAGAAGGGACCCTCTCCAGCCTTGCCTCCATTTCAACCAACCAAGGCTTGGGACTGGAAGTATTTCTAGGGGGGCTCAGGGCAGATGGAGTAGAGGGGTGGAGGCAGCTGAGGAGCTCGGAAAGGTCAGGGATCAGATCTGAGAGTTATAAACATTCCACGAGACCACCTCGGGGAGTGACTGGACAGGAGAAGCAGATGGAGGTCCCTCTGGCTCCTGGACACCCAAGTCTGCCCTCAGGATGCCGGCCAGAGTGGGGGGAGTTTGTGGCCCCCCCCCGAAGTGGGTAGATAAACGCCCGGCTCCCTCCTGCCTCTGGTGGATCGAAATTGCTGGGTCAAGGGATCAAGGGATATGTCCATTAAAAGATGAATGGTGTAGTGACCGCCCCATTGAACAGTGTTCAAGATTCCCAACTGCTTCTTGCTGCAAGTGATTGCAACCCAGCCTGGAAACTTTCCCTTGAGCACACGACTTGACATCCTCAGGAGGTCGTAGCCCAGCCTCTCACCCCTGGGGTGGAACCACTTTAGGTGCATGCTCTAAGCGCTCCCCCAGCGTCCCCAGGGGCGGAGGAGGTGGGCAGCGCTGCCCACGAAGTCACCTGGTCGCTGCTGCCCCCTGCAGGGCTCTTCCCCGGCACGTCCCTACCCCTCAACTGCCTTCCTCCGGGATACCCACCTTCGAATCCTAGTCTCAGGATAGGATTCTGAAGGGAGTACCCCAAACCGAGACAAGGCAAGACTGAGACCTCTTGGGAAGAGATGGGAGGACCCGGACGTGGTGGTGGTTCTGAGTAGCGACAGATAGTTTCGTCCATGGACACCACGCGTGTTTTATTGGTGGATACACACAGGAAAGGGAGAAAGGATCCCCCACCCCCGACCGTGGATCTGAACTCCCGGCCCTCACTTTGGAGGGACGTTAACTGCTGGCTCTTTTCTAACGACGCGGGGAGGGAGACTGGGACCCCACGTGCCCTCGCCCCGCGTGGGAGGAAGGACCCGTGCCACCCCTGGGTCCACTACCGAGCCCAGCCGTCAGCAGTGGGCAGACGGCGCAGGGGGGGTCCAGGCCGTAGGGGCTCGGCCAGGGGCCGGGACAGGAGCAAGGGATAGGGGAAAGTCTTGGGAAAGTCGCCGGGGCCCCCAGGGGCCGGCGAGAGGCGCTCGGACTTGATGCTGACTGGGGGGGTTGGTGGGGAGGCGCCACGGGCGGGGGGACCCTCCTCACTCAGGCTTCGGCTCCCACTGCAGGGAGAGACAGAGAGAGAGAAGGAGGGCTGTGAGCTCAGCGAGGAAGGGAGGAAAGCCAGGGAGGTGATATGGCTTGGGCAAAGGCTCGGCAGGAGGACCTTGGGAAAGGAGGGGGTGGCGGTCCCTCCTGGGGTTTCCAAAATAGCCACCCATCCCACCAAGAACAGACGGGAGGGGCTGAGTGTAGAACCAGGAGTGGCCACCAGAGGTCAGCAGTGGCTAGGGGCTTCGGAAGACTTGGAGGGACCCCCCACAACCACCCGAAATACCGGAGCAGAGAGAGGAGGGGCAATTGGGGCACTTACCTGGGCTGGGGAGGGGCGGCTGGGGGCCCATCACCCCTGGAATGCTGCCAGGGGGCCAGGGTGGGGGGCTGCAGCAGGCCAGGGGGCGGAGGGGGGTCTCCCAGGCCATATTCTGGGGGGAAGGAGGAATAAACAGAGGCCCTGACCTCAGGGAGCCCCTTGCCCAAGCTTGACCTATCCCACCAGCCAGTTTTCAGTTCTGGTGGGTGGGGAAATGCTGACCACCACCCCCACCCCTCACCCCCAGCAGGCAGGTGTATGGATGTCTCCCATGGCAGGGAACATGGGGGGTGCATACCTGGGGGGCCTGCAGGGAGGAAGGGGAAACTCCCGAGTGGGGGTCCCGGAGCTGTGGCAGAGCATGGACTCTGTAGGCTACCATAGAGGCCTCTCTGTGGGGAGACAGGGTACAGGGGAAACTGAGGCCCACACCCAGGCCATCCTGCCCTCCCCCAACAGCCCTGCTACACCTTCCCCTCACTCACTGAGGTGTTCAGTCCCCCTCGGGCCCCCGCCAGGCTACCAGGCAGGTCCGGCCTCCGCCCATCTGCTGCCAGGTACAGGGGTGGTGGTGTCTTGCTGGCAAGGTGGCTCGGTGAGAAGAGAGGGTGTGCCAGGCCTGAGGAGCAGGAAACCCCCAAAGAGAGGGCATGTGGCCATGTAATCTAATGAAGTCTGAGGTCCAGAGGTAATACACAGACAAGCAGTGCCTAAGCCAAGATCCCCCTACAAGCCCCCCTTGGATTCCCACCCCCTTTTGCCCCAGGGCCTGTGGCCCATGCTCACCTGGGGGCCCAGCTTTGGGGGCTGCTGGCCGGAAAGGAGATGGGCGGCTCTGGGCGGGGAGGGCCTCCCCAAGCCCACTGGGGTCGCAGCCTGGTGGGGGCAGGGCCCCATATACCATGTCCGGGCTGGGCATAGTAGGGGCTGCTGGCTGAGGGCAGAGAGGACGGGATTGGTTGGAGGAACATGGAGACGAGGACATCAAATCCAAGACAGAAAATCAGGGGCCAGCCTCCACCTCTGGAAGCCCTTGCTACTCCTCCCTCTGGCCTAACCCCACATGATGGAAGGAGCCTGTGTCTGGTGCTGTCACTCACTGACAGGCCCAGAGCTGAGACTTCTTGCTCAGCATAGGGCTGGCACCGAGGGGGCTTCCCAGGGTGTTTGATGAATCAAAGAAATAAAGGAGGAAAGAAATGGCTGTCCACTGAACTCTTATTCATCCTTCAAAACCCCAACTATAATGCCCACTCCTCCAGGAAACCTTCCCTTTCCACCTAGGCAGAGACCTGCTCCCTAACTCTAGACTTCTTGGCCTTAGATCCTTGTCTGGGTCTCAGCCTTGACCACTTGGGCCTAGGAGGTGAGGGAGGGCCCCTTCGTGGTGGTGCAGGAAGTCACTTACATAGAGCCGGGGCCGGGGCAAGGCTGGGTCACCCCCGTCACCTGCCAACCTTCGCAGCTTCTCTCCTGGACCGTCAGGCCCTTCATCTGGCTCCAGCTCTGGTCCATCAAGGCCCACACCCCTCCGCTTCAGTGTCTGTGGGGAGGGGAGACAACAGGGTGACCCTCCCCCGATCCTAGCCAGGGAACCTGGTTCTATGGGAGAGGGAAGATACCTCCCCCACCCAGCTCTGTGGGTGGATCAGAGTGCAGGCGCAGCCTGTTCCAGCCAAATCCCATTGACCAAAAACCCTAGTGAGTTATCATCTGGCAAATTCCAAATGTGTGTGAGAGAGGGACTGTCCTGCCCTGGGACCAGAGAGGTCCAGGTCACACAGTGGGGGCCAAGATCCACTGGCCCTGCCTGTGCTATCCTAACACTCCTCCTGAATACAACCCTGGTACCTCCGTTCCACACTGGAGTGCAGCCTCCGTGCCTGGCGTGCGACAGGTATTTCATAAATGTTGGAGGACAACCTTCTAGGCTTTCCTGAGCTGCTTCCCCCAGGACCTGCACACTCCTGGAGCCCTGCCTCTCCTTTGACAGCTTCTCCCCAACCCTCCTGAAACATTAGGGGTCGCCACATGCAGCCCTAGGCCTACTGGTCTCTCCATCTCCATCTCTGGGGTTTCAGCTTCCCATCTTGGGAAAAGATTCCCATGTCCAAAGGGAAGTGATCTCGCCCAGCCTGGGTTGCGGGTGTGGGGACGAATCAGCTGGTGCCGGGCTGCTTCTGTCCCTTTCTCCTGGGGACACAGCAGCTCAGACAAAAACACTCTGGGCCCTCAGCGAGGTCGGCTTGCTCTCTGCCCTCACCAAACAGGGGACAGGATTCAATGAGGTGTGTGCAGGGCACACAGTGGATGTTTTTATCTCTACTGTGGGGGCAGCTGCCCCTCGGAGGGACCCCACATTGCCTCAAACGTGCTTTTACCAGCAGTAAAGCCAGGTTGCAACACTCGTCTTTTGTGCCAAGAGTCCCTAGGCTCGGAGCAGGCACAGGGAGCTGGACCTCAGGGCGCTGGGAGGAGGGCCCCAGGGGTACCTCGAGGATGTCGGTGTTGGTGCGGCTCTCGTGGGGCTCACTGTACTCTGTGTACTTCAGGAGCACGCGGTCCATGTCCGTGCTGGCGTACTGGAAGAGGCGATTGGCGCTGTTGAAGATGATGAGGGCGATCTCACAATCGCAGAGCACGCTCAGCTCATAGGCCTTCTTCATCAGCCCAAACTTCCGCTTAGTAAATGTCACCTGGAGCCAGGACCCACAGGTGGGGTGGGAGAAGACATGGATTGGGGGAGGTAAGGAGGAGATGGAGGGGCCTAACTCTTCCCTGAGCATGCCTCAAGATTCTGTGCCTTATGCATGCTGTCCTTTCTGGCTGCTCCCCTACTTCTCACTTCTCAACCTGGCCAACTCCTATTTGTGCTTCAAAACCTTGTCCAAATGTCCTCTCCTTTGGGAAGTTTTCCTGGGTCTCCAGGCCAGGGCCCACATTCCCTCTCTGAGCTTCCTCGGTTCTGTGCCTCCCTCTGGACCAGCCCTCTGAGTTGGGTGGGTTTGTGTCAAACTTCATCTCTCCCGTGACTGGGGCTCCAGTAGTCAGAATAAATGAATAAATCATCATGAAAATGAGCAAATGCTACCTGTCAAACTCCGGACACCACATCAAGGCTCCCCATGCCCTTGCAGCTCCCCCAATGGGACAGGCCTTTGCCCAGGCTGGGTCTGCTGCCAAGAACGCCTTTCCCCCAGCCACTGTTCCCCCCCCCCCGCCCCAGTGAACTCACCTGCCGATTCCTTTGGTCCAGAATGCGGGAGATCTGGATTTTTTTCCTCCCCATTGTGTCAGGCTGGGTGGAGCGACCTTGGCCTTGCAGGAAAGGAAAACAGGACAGAGTGGGTGGATGGAAAGTGAGACCGGGCACCCAGCCTCCCTTCTGTCTTCCGCCTGCCCCTGCCAAGCTCTGAGGGAGAGATGATGGGGGGAAATCAAGGCAGGCTGGGTCACCCCCACAATCCCCACTCTCAACTGGCCCCAGAGGCAGTAGATGCTCAGTGAACACCTTTGGACCAACTCCACATGAAGAGAAGGCTAACCGAGGGCAAAGGATCGGGGTACAGATGCCCCACCCCTGCCTCTAAAACAAAACAAGCTGGTAATTGTGGGACCTCGGGGGAGCCTGACCTTCCTAAGCCCCTGTGCATGTGCAGTGGGGATAACAGTGTCACGCACAGCCCAGTGTTGTTGGGAGATAAAATGAGCTAACCCCCGTGAAGCATTCAGATCCGCCCAGCACACAGTGCACAGGTGCTACCTATGCACTGCTGTTATGAATACTAGCAACAGCCTAAAAGCCCTTGACGGGCCAGGTTGGATGGACATCTGATGCCGATACCTGGCGGTGCTCAGGAAACATTGCTCACTGAGTCACTGATCTTGAGCCACTGGAAAAAAAAATTTTAAAAGCCTGGTACGCACATCGGACACCTTTAAGCCATTCGATTCAAAACAGCTCCCCAACAAGCAAGATCCAGGGCTGTGGTTATAAGAAAACATATATTTAAAAATTGCATGGAGAGTAGAAAAGACTAGAAGGAAATGAGCAAGATAGGAGTCATTGCTGGGTGGAAATTTATGGGTGAATTTTTCCTCCTTTGTAAAAAAATTTAGATGCAATTCGCACCACCTAAAAATCACCATTTTAAAGTGTGCGATTCAGTGGCACTTAGTGCATTCACACTGTTGTATAACCATTACCTCCAGCTAGGTCCAGAAAGTTTTCATCCCCCAAAAAGGAGACCCCATGTGTATTAGCAGTCACTCCCCATCCTGCCTCCCCAGACCCTGGCAACCACAGATCTGCTGTCGCTATGGACATGTGCGTTCTAGAGGTTTCATGTAAATGGAAACGTACAACGTGTGACCTTTGGTGTCTTTTTTTTTTCTTCCCTTTTTGATTATCTGAATTTTCTAACTTTCCCCTCTCAGTGATTATAGATTATATCCATTTAAAAAGAATTGTGGCGCCTGGGTGGCTCAGTTGGTTAAGTGTATGCCTTTGGCTCAGGTCATGATCCTGGGGTCCTGGGATTGAGCCCCGCATCGGGCTCCCTGCTCATCAGGAAGCCTGCTTCTCCCTCTAACCCTCACCCCACTCATGCTCTATCTCTGTCAAATAAACAAACAAACAAAAAATCTTAAACAAAAAATAAAAAGAATAACAGGGGAGACCTGGGGTCTCAGTCAGTTCAGCATTTGACTTTTGATTTCGGCTTGGGTTCTGATCTCAGGGTCCTGGGATTGAGCCCTGCAGGGGGTTCCAGTCTCAGCGGGGAGCCTGCTTGAGGATTTTCTCTCCTTCTCCCTCTGTCCCTCCTCTATCTCTCTCTCTCTCTCTGTCTCTCTCAAATGGACAAATGAATCTTTAGAAAATAAAAAGAATAACAGGTGGGAGGAGGTCAGGACACCCTGAAAAGACCTCAAGCTTAGAGCTCACACTGGGGTTTGGGCCTGAGATCTGCTTGAGAGAAACCCTGGACCCTTCTCATGAGGACCTTGGATCTCCCTGGAGGCGTGCTCAAGGGTGAAACTGGACAGCTTGTGGAGGACAGCATGTCCCCAAGATATGCAGCATGTTGGGTCCAGGCCTTCCCCAGCTCTCCCCTTGCAGGGCTCCTTGGAATGAAGGAGTCACGTTGCCCACCGTGTAGCATTCATCCCACTGTACAGACAGCCACCCCAAGGCATCCAAGACCCTTCCACCAAGTCTATGACCACATGACCTCCTGGCCCCTCTCATGTCACAGGTGACTGAGGCTTCAGGTGAGTGGCCTGCCGAGGGTCAGGTGGGCCTGCAGTCAGGTCCCAGACAGCCTCTGACCCACTGGGCAATCCTCAGCAAGGGAGGCCTCTCCCTAGGCCTCAGTGTGCTGTTCTGTGGAGAGGCTGGCTATGAAATGCAGAGCACCTGACACAAGGCCTGGGAATGAGCTCTTGGGAAGTGTAGGAAAATGTGGGTCCATCTCCAAGAGCAACCATACCTGCTTCCCAGACTCCAGCTCTAGGGGTTTGGGTGGGACCCCCCACACACACACTGTTCCAGAGTCCCACGGCCCAGGAGCGTTAGACACTATCGTATTTGGCTTGCTGTGTGACCCCAGGTGTGCCTTCAACTTTCTCTGGTCTGGGTCTCTGAACGATCATAACTATGCAGAGCCAGGACCCACGGGAGCCCCAGCCCTGGCCCCCCAGCTCCAGCTTGACTTGCTAAATTTAACTTTCCGGGCTAATTTTAATCCCTGGCCGGAATCGGGTGCGTTCCCACGGCTGGGACGTGTTGCCCCCGCCCTGACAGGTCCCTCGGGACAGAAGGGGGGCACTGGTCCGGAGGTCCTGGTGCCAAGGTGACTCCGGAAATGCCCCCGTGTCTGGGGTCCCATGGGAACATGGGACTCAGACATGAATCTCCAGGCCTGGAAGATCTGAATCTGGACCCTTCTCAATCTGTCCCCAGTTTAGACAAGGACATCTTGGCCAGGGCAAGGCTCACATAATGAGGGAGCCCCATGAGCCAGAAGGTGGGGGCGGTTCTCTCTAAACTGAGACCAAGAGCCGAGACAGGAAGTGAGTTCCAGGTAGAAGGAGGAACAGATCCAAAGGCCCTGAAGAAGGACGAGACACAGTAGTGAGGCTGGAGGAAGGAGTCCAGGGGTAGAGGCCACAGAGACAAGGTCACTCCGGGTCCTCTGATCTGTGGGGAGGACTGTGGGTTTTGGTCTAAGAGCGACAGAGAGCCATGAGAGGGTTTTGAGCAAAAAGGAATGGGGTTTGATTTATCATTTACAAACTTAGCCGCAGCTGCCATGGGGAGCAGGACTTTTGGGGGCCAGGCGAGAGATGGCAGGAGACTTGAGGGGAGACCAGGGCTGTGTTCATCTGGGCAAAGACTAGGGGTGAGGCCCCCTCTGTTCTAGGCCTACATCATGCACTTGAAATCACTGTACTCCAGGGGTCTTTGGTTCCTCCTGAAGACACCAGATCCTCTGCCATCTCTGGGTCCAGGCCTGACAGATGCAGATGGGCTCATGCAGGGGTTTGACTCTTCTGACCCTCGATGACCATGGAACCCCCAATCCTCACCCAAGAACCAAAGTCATCCCAATTCTGGCCCTTGAGTGATCTACCCAACATACAGCTCTGATCATACCTCCTTCTTGCTCACACACTCTTCATGGCTCCCCTCTGCCCTCAGGAGAAATTTCTAGTCCCCAGCCTGGCATTTGAGGCCCTGCCCCAATCAGCCCCGGCCCATCTTAATCTACCTTCAACAAAATGACTCTGCCTGGAAAGCCCTTTTTTTTCACTTGGCCAACTCCTATTCACACTTCAAAACCCAGCTCAAAAAATTAATTCCTCTAGGAGGCCCTCCCTGCCCTCACTCTGGACTCCTACAGCTCCCGAACTTCCCCTCCAGTTTTGACCCCATGGGGCCAGGGGTGTGTATATCCAGCTCTGTCTCCCTCAGACTGCAAGCCCCTCAGGACCAGATTTAGTGAATGGAGCAGGTCAAGAGAGACTCTGAACTCCCCCCAGCTTCCCTCAACAACTTCCTCTCAGACTCCCCCAGCTGACTCCCTACCCAGAAATACATGGGCATGCAAATCCAGTCACTCAGCGTTGACCTGCTTCAAGCCCAGGTGTGAAGGGCCAGCCAGGGAACGCGGAGGCGGAGGGCCCGGACTGTGCATATATATTTGTACTCACATGCAAATCCCCACTGAGCCGCAGACGGGCCCGGTGGCCTGTTCTCCAGATGTTGGCGTGATCGGAACTGCTGGGGGGAGGCGGCAGCACATGCTGGATGTGCCAGGCACGAGGGGGGAGGCCTCTGCTGTGCACACATCCCCCCTCTACCCCCACGCTATCCAGCCAGAAAGCAGAGAGTTTGTGGCGTCTGTCCAGCAGAGAAGCAAAGAGATGGACCCATTGACCCGAGAATGGAGCGGGGAAGAAGGGCCAGGAGAAATCCAAGAGGGCATCCCAGAGGAGGAAGCATGTAGTTGGGCCTTGATGGACAGGTTGGATGGGGGGGTCTGAGCAGATGGGAAGGGGGTGGGCATTTGAAGCTGAGAGTCCATTACCTCCCTACCCTTTTCTTCATACCCTCATACTTAGCATATATTAAATATCCACCAGGTGCCAACCCCTTTAATAAGCTGATCACAAAAGAAGTAGAAAGTTTAAGTAGACCAATGACCATAGAAGATTAGAAAAGTGACTCAAGACCTACCATTAAAAGGACAGCAGGCCCACATGGTTTTATGGCTCTTATCAAACCTCAAAGGAGAGGGAAATGCAATGTTATTGAAACTAACCCAGACCTTTGCAAGCAATGAGAATTGCCCAAGTCATTTTTACAAAAACTCCTATATGTCAGAACCCGACTAAGTCCAGAGAGAGAGATGTATTGACCACAAAAGGGTCAATGTGAACCAGAGATTTCAGGGAAGCTCTCCTGAAGAGGTGAGATTGGAGCTGAGACCTGAAGCACATAAAAGAGACAGCCAAGCAAGGGAAGAGCCAATCATGGAAGATTTTGTGGGGGTGAGGGGTATTCCCGGCAGGGGGAATCTCCAAGGGCAAAGATCTGGAGCGATCAGAAGTTTGGTATTTTATTTTTATTTTTTAAGATTTTATTAATTTATCTGTCAGAGAGAGAGAGAGAGAGCACAAGCAGGGGGAGCGGCAGGCAGAGGGAGAAGCAGACCTCCCGCGGAGCAGGGAGCCCAATGCAGGATGCAATCCCAGGATCCTGGGATCATGACCTGAGCCAAAGGCAGAAGCTTAACTGACTGAGCCCCCCAGGCGTGCCAGGAGTTTG